TGGCCAAATATATAATATATGGCAGGTTCTCTATTCGATCAATTAGACGTAGTAAAATGTCGGTAGTGATTCAGTTGGACCGATTTCGTTTTAAAATATTTTTTAATATTTTTTCTAAAACATATTAAAACAAATTTTTTTAAGTTCTTTTGTTTGTTTGTCTTGTTAATCATTGTTTGACGTATTAGAACAATAATTATTGCCTTTAGGCCAAACTCATCTGAACTTCAATCAGAAAAGAAATCAAAAGCTTTTGTTTATTTATTGCTCAAATTTCTATGGGAAAGTAGTTAAAAAGGCCAATGAAACACATAGCGACTTATATACATACAATTATAACATATATGTATATTATTTATTATTGTTATTTCTTTTTTTTCTAAGAATTTACCTAAATGCGATTGAATACTAATAAAATGTGTTTCTTTATATCCATTCTTTCTATTTTTATAAATAATTTAAATATATCCTTCAAATTACACGTATACTTACTTACTTAGTTGGCCATTACAGACGTGTGTCGTCCTTGGCCGCGTCGAGTAGCCTCCGCCAGTCAGCCCGATTAATTGCTTTCTGACGCCAGTTGGTAGTATCGAGCGCCCCCAAATCGTTGGTCATTTGGTCCTTTTACCGAAGATGCGGACAATTGAGAAATAAATTACTCGTATAAGGTTGAGAAATTGTGAATGAATTAGTTTATTTACTTACTTAGAAAGACTTTGATTATCATAACTTGATTATCATAATTTGATAATAATCATTATCATTTAGAGCTACGATTCGGGATGGGTTTCGGCTTCCTATACATTCTTGATCCGTTCTTCTCTATCTTTAGGTAAGGAGTTTCAGTTTCTTTCTCCCAGAGTTCTTATTCCCTTATCAATTGAACGTATTTTTGGTCTATATCTGGTGTGCACTTGACTGTAATTAAAAGTTTTTTTTGCATATGGAACTCATACATTACTCAACGTATTTTTTCCATTACAATCACTGTGATTCGCATATTTCATAATGTTATTGTCTCTCAATGTGTAGTTTCCATATGATTTTTCTTAAAATAATTGCGTGAATTCCTCATCATCTGCTGTTGTTATAAAAATTTTAACGGTATAGTTTGCAATCGACCTTATCACTCCTTTGTAGACAAGTAATTTGAAGCCTTTCGGTATAAGTCGAGAAATCAAGAATTTACAATAAACAAAATATTCTTAATTAGAATTATTAGAATACCTTTGTCGAATAGTTTGTAATGGGTTATTGACTTTCTTGATGTGTATTGTCTGGATTAGAAGCTATTTTTCCCCGCGAAGCAGTGATGTTTAAAATTCAATGATTAGGAAATTTATACCAAGTACACTAAAGACTAATACTAAAGCATTAGTTGTTAGCTCTAAATATATTATTTACATTCTAATAAGGTAAAATTATCTGAATATATTCCAGTAACCCTTGATCGATTTATGCTTTTCACAACTTAAATAAACCATAATCAAAAATCGTGCATTATATTAGATTAATAAACCTAGAACTCATTTTTTATTCAAAATATAATGTCTATCTGTTAAGTATTTCAAAGTTCTAATTTTTTTGTTATGATTTTTTTAATACCGAAAATTATTTATATGAAGTGCTTTACTATGTATATAAGTATATATCATTGTTATTGTTAATTATATAATATTTGTTAAGATTTTAACAGTAAGTTTTATTAATTTAATAGTAAGTTCATTTAGGGGTGCATGATACATTATTTCTAATTAAATTTAGTTTTAATTTTAACAAATTAATTCAATTTTATTTTAACTTAAAGTCACATTAAGTGTCTGTCTGGTTTAGTCAGTTTAGTAAACAATATTAAATAATTTTTTTATAAATGTTTTGCAAATTAAAATTCGTTTTATTTTAACTAGAAAAATAATTTGTTTTTTATTGCCTCAAATAAATTAATGTTATTTAAATGAAATATGAAAATTAAAAGTGAGTAGTCTCTATAGTCTCTACTATCAGTTAATAATGGTTACTTCCCATAAGCATAGTTTTTGGAATATTTCACAAATCATAATAATTTTTTATTTATTTATGATTTATAGAAATAAATGAAAATGATAAATAAAAATAATAAAATAAGGAAATAAGAAAGTTTTTCAACAAGTTAAAAGTTCTTATTCACCTTTCTTATAGACTGAAGTTTTATTCTGCACAATGTGCAACAATACGAAATTTTAATATTGTTCGTCTCTTCGGATACCTCCATAATTTGTTAAAAGTCAATTTTAGTACTGTTACAGGTATCGGTTGAAACAATCGCTTTTGTTTATAGTCAGCGGAAAGTAATCTTAAAAAATGGTTATATATTTGTTCTTATAACCATAGACCGGTTGTTTACCTTGGAAGTTATTTGCAATGTCGTGCCCGCAAGGATGTTTTCTGGTTTTTATCTATTTATTGATCAAACGCTTAGTTCTAGACTAACTAACTGTATTTTCCAAGATCATCCACCAATTGGCATTGATTACTATTGACTATCATTATCGTTGAAATTTTTCTGGAGCGATGATTTGAGTTTTATGTTTTATAAGGATGACAACTTTTGTCACAACAGCGACAACAACATTAATAGTTATAAAGCACATATATTGCACATTATTATTATTATTATTTAATATAATATATATAAAATAATTTATATATATTTACACAATTTGCCTTTAAAAAGCCATACTTGTTCTTCTGCAATCTTTGAATATACATAACCTAATAATTTCTCATAAATATTTTTAATTTTCTTTTGCATCTTGAAGACTGTTTATATAATAAAACATATTCCCTTATGTAATTTAACAACTTCCGTTTGTGAATTAAATTGGATTTAACAACTCAAATTTGCTGCAATTTAAAAAGAGCAGAACCGTGCTCGGTACGCCGAAGGAAAAATATAAAGTGAAAAATTGTATCTTTTTGTGTGTTGTGCAGAAATAATTTTATTTCTATTTTGGCACATACGAAAGCAGAGTATAATTAAATAATTATTACTTAAGAGCTTATTTAGGGGGCAATGAACGTTCTCAGCTCTTCTACCTATAATTCGGTCTGTCTGTCTATCAGTCTAATTCTAAATCGTCCATCGCTTATGTGCCAGTTAAAGTCAGCGTTTTTTTCGCTACTTTATTGCAAAATTTTTACTGTGCTTTATGTTGGTTGCTGATTTCGGGGCGTGTACCGCAACTGTTAATATTGTTCTTCTTATCGGACTTAAAAGTCGCAGCTGAAGTTGCTGCTATCGCAGATAACAATAAAAACCCATCTTGTTACTTCATTCATAAATGATTTTAACGTATTCACCAAATACATGTGCTTCAAAGTGAGTCTAAGTAAGTCTAAAAAATTAAAAGTAAAATACGAGTATGTATAGCAAGTGCTGTTTGTGGTTCCTGGCTGTTGTCTGTTGGCATTTGAGTATCTATTGCTGATGCTCATCGCTGAGGTTATTGCCGGAGCAAACAAATTATTCCATTGTTGTCCATATGCTCGTAGATTTAATTACTACTTTTCAGTTTTGAATACATAAATTGTGATAGTAGTTCTAATCTTAATTGGTGTTTTCGCTACTTTGGAGGAAACTTTTTCTATGTTTATAGATAGTATCTATTAGATACTTACACGCTATTTATGTAAAATGTATGATGTATAATGTGTTTTGTATGAAAACTAACAATTGTTGCCTTCTAATTTAAGACCAAAAGTAATAAAATTATAAGTAATTATGCACACAAACTCTAAATTACTTTTGGTTCTACACTAAGAAAAAGGTTTACAATAAAGACATTATAAAGACTGTATTATCAAGTTCTTCAACGATCCGAAAATAGCGATTGCAGTCTAATTTTAAAAGTCAATAAAACTAGAAACTAATTATTTATTTGATGAGAAAAATGATTGATTATGGTGAAAAATGTTAATTTTATAAAATTATATAGATTTTACATGTACCTATATATATAATTATTGTAGAAACTTTTAATCAAGGCAGAAGATGCATGCGTCGTATAATAGTTATATTTACCACCATATCGAATGGTCGTTGTTGTCCACTGATAGAACACATATCAATAGATATAGAATAGGTAGACACTTAAGAAGGACTTAGAAGAAGTAGCATAGGCAGCAGAGAGTTCATTAATGTTTAAATAGCAAAAATTGGTGTCATTTAGGAAAGCACCTATTCACTTATCAAACTACTGTAAACAAATTGATATTAATACACCCACAAATCCTTTATCAAAGTACTGTAAATGAATTTCACATTGTTTTGGTTTGTCATTTGCAATGTGTTTTGCATGTCGATCTTCCTCAAGTATTGCTCTATCATTAGGTTGTTCAATGTTCTACGAAAAAGTACATTTATTTTTTAGCGGATCTACTAATATAACCCACTAAATATATGACTTTACTCTCTCATTGAATAACGTTCCATAAAAATTTCATCAAAATTATTATTGAGTATATAAATAAGAGACATTCTATATATAATATTTTGTTAAACATATTTAGTATACGTATATGGTATAAATTACTTACTCATATCCCCAAGTTTTTAGTGCAATGGAACAGTAATTTCTAGTAATTTGCAGCTACTTTTTGCTACTTCGAGTTTTGTATATTTTAGTAAGTAGGTTTGCAAAAGGTTGAGTATTGACTGCATACATGAGTAAGGGGATGGGATTAAATTTTTTGATTGATATGAGTTCTATATAGTAGAGAAAAATATTTACGTACATAACATATGTGCTATTTTCAATACATGACTAACTATAGTAAACGATATTGAGATTTTTTTTAAGTTTTTTAAAATTATAGATTTAAAAAAAGATATAAAATAGTAATTTGCTGGGAAGTATAAAAGATATATAGTAAAGAATGAATTTAATTATATTATTTCAATATATCACTATCAATTATTATCATCAATAGAAATATAATATATGCTATATTCTTTTCAGGTGCTCATAATTCTTGCTCTGTATTCCGGCGTAAGTGAAGGCTCCAATTTGGGCTCAAAATGTCAACATGACATGGATTGTACGGACTTCATAAAAGGCAGTACTTGTTCGGCGCATGGCTATTGCGAGTGTGCACCCTACTATGTGCAATACAACACAACTAGCTGCTTGTCGTGTAAGTAGAATATGCATACGCAATGTAGCAGAAATTTATAATTATTATGCGGAAAGAAAATAAACAATGCGAGAGATACAAAATTTAATTTTTATGCTTAAAGTTGTTACTTAAACATTTGTGTGGCTTCCTAAAAGGCGTGTTTTATTATTTGTCATGCGTTTGACCCGTTTTCGTGCTGAGTCTTAAGCTCGGCTTATCATCTTTATGGCCATGCACATTGACTGTGAATTTCAAGGAATTTTTATAATGGACATTTATTTGGCTGTTGGCTCATAGACATGTTTGCGCACAGCAACTGCAACAATATTTGTCAAAGAAATGTCTTCTTGCATACCGTTCCTACGCTAAAATTGACCACGTTTTTGAGTGTATTCACTTTACCACTTTACTTTGCATACATTACCTCTTCAACTGAAGATATATTTACTTTATACTGCATACTATAATTGTATACAACTGGAAAAGAGGTTTTATTTACTTAAAAATACGATTTTCTCTTAAGAATCTTCAGTTTGCTTTAGTAACATTTTTGTTGTCACATCAAAGTTGTAAGAATATCTGACCTATTCGCACCGAGAATTTCTACAAATCAGTTAAATTAACAAACATTCTTACAATGACTTCAGTAAGGAGTAATTTATTTTAAAATATATTAAGAGCAATCTACTACGCAGATTTAAAAAAAGGAGTAACACAAATTGGTACAAAATTTAACAGAAAACTTTAACGGTAAAGCCACTGTTTAAACACGCAGTCATATATTTATTGGTTAGTTGAAAGTAAATGTCATGGGAACTTCCTGTAACTGTACGGGATAACGAGTAGACCAGAACTAGTGACTACTTGGTGGTCTTTATAAAACCATTATAATAGATGTTTCAGTCCTTTCAGAGTCAAATGTGTATACGAACAAAACACTTTAAAATAACAGACCAGACCTCACATGTGAAATGATCCATATATGGGTTGGCATGGGTTAGCTCTTCTCTATAAAATGTAGTTAGTGTACTGCAATCTCTAATATGTAGGGATGCCGACTATTATTCAAGTTAGGCCGACACTTGTCTATAATTCTCAGTTGTTTAAATGCCCATCGGACATTTCAAATGTTTGCATTAAAGATATTTCCTTATTCTTTCAAAGCTATCAAGTTACTTCCTGAATCAAAATAAGTGTTTTTCGATTTAAAATTCCTGTAGTGAGTTGGTGAGCATACGAATCTCTCTGTCTCTCTGTCACTGTGTTACAATGGAACCTTTTATTAACAGCTTTCTATATTTTATTATATTTGTACTTAACAACCATTGAAAATCAGTTAGTAGTTTGTGTAGCCATTGTGTTTGGGAGTAGAAACCTGATTTGATTTTTGATCATTATTGTTTTACAAAATATATAACTTATGTCCAAATTTGTATTCGTAATTTTATATTGTTCTTTCAATGTTTTCCAGCACAACTTCTGGGTGGCGATTGTATTCTGGACGATCAGTGTACAATGAAAGTAGCGAACAGCAGTTGCGCGGATGGAGCCTGCCGCTGTGTTGAAGGTTTCCTACAATTTCGCAAACACACATGTCTTGGACGTAAGTACGCTGATTTTGCTAAAGAATTCAACACCCCAAATTAGTAGCTATAAACATATATACTAAATTTTTCACGTAATATCTTTCCTTATCTCTTGTATTGTATAATGTGCACTTTTGTAATATAATTTCTAAAATCCAAAATTTTGTACTTAGTCTGAAATATTGAACAATTATAAATCAAACAAATATTTATGTAACATATACGTATGTCTTTGGCTTTGCAGCTAATAATAATTGTAAATAAAATTGTAATGAGTCCATTGAAACCACATGTTTTCTTTGCTCGTTTTATGGATGTACTACCATGTCTACAAAATTTAATAACAATTAGTAAAGGTAACAGAAATCACATATAAATTCAAAAGAAAATAACTTCTAAATGTGCTCTCAACACTATATTTATTATTAACAATATTTATTTTTCATTATCTTTAATATTAAAATGATTGTATATAATTTAAAAATGGTAAATTGGGCTATAAATTAAAATAAAAAATTGGCCTCTTTTGACGAGGTCTATTAGTTTAAACCAACCAAGTCTCCATCAATACATGAACCGGAAACTGTAGTTTACGTTATGACTAAATGTTGAAGATTCTTCTATGTTATCTATAAATATAGCACAATAGTTTTCTAATTATTTTCCATAGATCTGTAATATATAAATAGTTAGCATTTGATATTATCTACGAATTGATTAAACAACCCGAACCTCAGGGTTATAGAGAGAAATTTTCGTCAATATTCTCTTGGAGACTATTCCTACTGGATTTATTTTATATATCTTAGATATGAGAATTTTGCAGTTTTAGATGAATTTGAATTCAAATATTGAGTTATAAATAAATATGCAATAATAATATTGCTTCAATTCAGCCGGGGTCTAGCACATACTTTATGGCATGCCTTTTTAATTGAGAATCTGTCAAGAACTTTTCATTTCTAAACGGTTTAGCCCGTTTTTTTTTAATTTTAATAGTAATTAGCAGAGCACAAAGTATCCGCATTTGCCTACGAAGATCATTTGTAACAAATATAATAGTTTTTTAATGGTTTAATTATTAAAAGTAAAAAGTTACTAGATATTTAGTATATAATTGTTGCTTAACTTTCACCGTATATTGTTTAAATAATTGTATTATTGTTTAAATTGAAATTCATGCATTCGTGCAATAAAAAACAATTTATAAGAAAGTAAAATGAAGCTACATGATGAATCGTGTTTCTCTCACTTATAAACCAACTAATATTGCATAAAATAAGTTTATTTCCTTCTAAGAATAGTCAATTATTATTGACAATATTATTAAGATAAAACCTAAACGAATTTTATTGTTCGCGTACAGTCACGAACAACAAAATCAACAACACCATCTCTTCCAACTTCAGCGGAAAGTCTATGTCTGGTTCAAACAAAGCCGATACCGATATCGATACTGATACCGATACCGACGTCGATATCGACGTCGTTGCTAATGTCGATGGTGATGTCGATTTAGATGCAAGAACTAAAGAAAACAAAAGAAGTTAAAAATACCAAACAAAAGAAAAAGTGATCTAAATAAAAACAGATCAAACCGATCAAGCAGATCGCTCTGAAACAGACAAGCGAAATTATATCATAATAACGTAAAACATGAACGAACATCGGCGCCAATAATCAGTGATAATCAGATTACAAATCTGAGAAGAACAAATAAAATAGAAAATAAGAAATGGTCAACAGGTCTAAGATGTTAAAAAAATAAAAGACAAACACCACAAAAAATAATAGGAACAGCACGAAAATACGTCAGATCGCATGTGCAAGATCGTTCACCTTCTGGCATCGTAGCATCGTAGCATCTTAGCATCTGGCTCGAAATAGTAAAAAGCGAACAGAACAGAAGAGTTTAGAACACAAATCTAAAGTTTTGTGGGAATTTTTACTGCTAATAGGTACTAAGTAAGTTAATTATCAATAACTATTGGTAGCATATTGAAAGTGGAAGTTGCTTATGGATTGCCATTGAGACAAGAGGCAATCCATAAGCCCATATAGTTTGTGTGTGATTGTAGAGAGGGAAATGTGTAAATGTGTAAAGTGTATCTACGTGGTACATTTGATGGGGAAAAATTGTTTGAGTTCAGACAGGGAATGAAACACCTAATAAAGCCACTAATTATAAAATACAAGTATGTGAACTGAAAGTTCTTTCGGTTACTTATGTGCTCAATGGAAACATATGCTGTTTATTCGAAAAAATTTAATTTGCTAACATCTATGATTAAATCTTTTAAGAGTGTACTAAAGTCTTTTGGAAGCATAACGAGCACTACAAGTGAAATGTAGGTAAATAGCATGTGGTTAAGTTTCTTCGAATAATGCATGATTATCGGGAGTGGTAGCACATTTACAATTACTTTTTAGCGAATAAAGTTACTTTCACCAAAAATACGTACACAAATTTTTTATATTTTCAATTTTTGGAACACAAGTTGAACTCGTAATCAGTGTTTGGCAATCTATGCACCTTTCACCAATTATCCTGTGAGGAAAACTCTTCTGTTCTTAAGGTTCTGTTCATGTAAATTTTTATAAATCAATGCAATGCCCACTGAAAAGTCTCTGCTCCATACCACAACAATTAATGCGCAAAGAAAAATCTATACCTTCTACTCGTGTAAGGTTCAAATGTTAATCGTTTATTAACCGTTATTGAGAAAGGTTAAGTGGCTATTAGAATGACTAGTAAATGGATCATAGTCGATAACTATTTTGCAAAAATAAAACCCTTAAAGCAATTCAATATCATTAAGAATAGTAATTTAAAATAAACTTTACATTATTACATGCATGTAAAGTATAATTAGTAAAACTATAAATGAGTAATAAAATTAATTGAACTTTCAATAATTTCAAAGTTATTCTATATTATTCTATTGGCTTTCATCTCTGTACTAGTATCTGAAAGCCTCATACCCAAATATGGGTATTTCCCCGATGAAAGTTTCTTACAAACATGTTTGTCAAAATTTGAATATAAATTCAAAGAAAATGTTTTATCTACGTTTCATATACTTATAAATAAAAATCTATATATAATTACAAATATAAATAAATTATTATCAAATCGAGTTGATATTTTGAATTGTGAAGTAGAGTCCATACGTCGCGTTGCTCTGTTGTTAGTTCCTTTATCGTAATTATATTAATAATTGCATTTCGAATAGAAAATAGTTTTCCAGGAAAAATGTTTTCTCTCACTATTTTGTCGATTTATTTCTGACACTTTCTTTAATGCTGCTCCGATGCGTTGATTTCCTTTAAATTAAAAAATTTGTCAAAGCTCTCAAAATATAATTGTTTGATCAATGACTTTGTATCCGAACTATTCCTATAAAGATATACGTTGAGGATTTCTTTAAAAAAAAAAAACACAAATATGTTAAGTGATTTGACTAGACCTATATGACTGTTTTGCTATATATATTTTTACATACATTATACATAGTTACACACATAATACATAGTATTATTTTTATCATATTTTTGACGGTTTCATTTGTTTTCTGAGAGATAGAGGTGACATTTTCAGAGTTACAGAGACAATCTATAGACTCAATGAATTAGGCAGAAGAGGTATTAATCTGTTCATATGCGCAAATAGAATTAATATTAGAATACCTATAGTCACTTGTTAACTATTGTTGGAAAACAGTGTCGTTTCAGACACCAACAGATCCAGAATAGATGGTGACACTTATATAATGTTTTATCTATCGTAACCAATACTTATAAATTGGTATAATGCATACTTAATTCAACTACTTATTACACTACTGAGACAGGACATCTTTAAGGTCGAGATTTGTATAACCAAACACTGGTAATTTGATAGTCACACTTTTATTCTAGAATATCTTGCCTATGAGTATTTTGTAAGTTGTGAAGAAATTAAGTGAACATACACATTGAAACGTTCCTTTTCTGTTGTTGTTGTCCAGCTCTACAAGAAGTACAAATTCACTAGGCAAAAGGATCTTTAGTAAAGAGTTTTTGGAGATGTTCAGCAGTAATGTGAAGAACATTCTGTGCTTTATACAAGTTTTGTAATGGTTTCTTAAGTAAAAATGCTTAAGGTCACTTCTTAAATAGTAATATCACAATGGACTGGTAAGGTGAGTTGGGCAACTAATCGCATTAACCTGATCTAATTTATTCGATATTTTACTCATGTTCTAAGGTAATAAAAATTATTATAAAATTTCTAGTTAAAAATTTTGAATCATGTAATACTAAAAATTTTTGATTAATTTAATTCGAACCTAATCTAATAGGATTATATTCTATATTATGATCAATTATTTTCAATGTATAATTGCTGCGAAAGTCTTCTCATTATTTCGCCTTCGGTCATAGACTTGCAAAATTTTATTGCTTCGGAAACTTGTCTGAAACTGTTTATGTCTTTGCGAAAGTACCTCAACGACTTTATAAACAATTATAAGTTAAAAAAAGAAATGTAATTAAAAGTAAACAAATTTTTGGAAGAAATTATAATTTTTCACTTTAAATAAGTTTAGTAAAAACAACAGAAACAAGTTTATTTTTAAATGTGAAACAGTTAAATATCTCCACCTTGGCATTAGGTTAGTAAAGTAAATCTATTCATTCGAGAAGAATAAGAACACTACCTAACTTTCATTCTTTCTCTTCAGTTCCGTTTGAATTTAAAGCACCTCAATCTTAAGAAAAAAAAATTTAATTATGGCATAATACGAGTACGTAAAGCTCTATTCGAATAAATGCTGTGTGAAAAGTTCATAAAAAACTAGATTATTTCTGGCGAATAATTCTATTAAGCACGCATAATTAACAGGTGTCTACATTTTCACTTTAAAAACAGTAGTATTATTTTAATGAGAAGATTCATTTGTATAATGAAGTTCACTTTGTTTAATTATCTCTAAGATATTTGAATAATTTGTCATACGAATGATATAAATAAAAGTGT